ACGTACTGCCACCTAACCTTCAAGTAACTGGCAAAGAATCGGAGCAAGTGCAGGGTGCAACCGACGCCAGCTAACTTCCTCAGCAGCGTGTCATTGTCGACTAGGTCGAATGCTTTTTTGTAGTCGAACTATGCTTATCTACCTGCCCCCCTTCGTCCACCGTTGGCACCACATACGTCACGTGGCTCAAGAGGTTACTGGTGGTGCTCCTCCTTGGTCTAAGCCCGTGCTGAGCCTCCGAGAGTTGCGCTTGAACCTGTGAGAAAACCGTCTTATGGATAGCTGAATCCAAAACGTTTGCGGATGAAGACAGTACCGCTACCGGTCGAGGGTTATAAACCCTCGATCTTATCTCTTAGCATATGACCGCTCCATAAACGGTACTAGGGGTCATCGAGAGTGCTAAAACACCTATCCACAATTGACAGATACATCGCGTTACCAACAATGAAATTATGAAATCCCAATCTTCCTGTAATAGTGACTAGACTGAAAACCCTCCGGGGTATGTCAGGCCAATGTCCAAGAAGTAACACTTTAGGCAACCAAAATGTCCACTGTATTAAAATGTCCTCAGTATAAAAATTACCTGTTTAAAACGTCCATTTATCAAAATTTTCGCTTACCAAACGGTCCATTTAACAAAATGTCCACTTAACAAATAGTCCACTTTGTCACAATGTCCAATATAAGATAATATCAAAACTTTAAATAAATAAAAAATCTTTGCCTTTTTTTTGGATATGACATAGGATATGAGACAACCAAATAACAAAAAGTTATCTATAGTAGTCAGTAGGTAGTTTATTAACATTTAAGCCTTAAAAACGCGATTTTTCTTAATTTTAAAAAACTTAGTTTTTTTTGTTCGAAGCTTGTGTAAATAATTCTTGAGATTTTTATCAAAGTAAATATCTCTATTTCTCGTATTATTTTTCATCGGTTTATAGATAAGGTAGTTAATTTTATAGTCATAGTGTATAGATTCCTTCAGTAAGCATTGAATAAAATTTCGCTGTTTCCTCATGGACCAACTATGTATGCACAACTAGTTGTGTCATAAGGATTTTTGTTTTTAAATCATTCCTATTGGCACAACTAAATAATTTTAAATTAATATTAGTTCCTAGAGACACAACTAATTATAATCGGTGTACAAAAATTTATCGTTATGGTTATTGTAAGCATTTAATATGGTATATATTATACTAAATCCATATGTTAATGATATTAAAAAAAAAGAAAACGAAAAGAGGTCTACTCCCAGGTGAGATGGCTGGGTAGCGCAATTGGAAACAGTGGTATTTCCATTCATCTAAGCTTATCTAGTGCATGCCCTAATGTGATTAGTCCATTAATGTATTGAAGTTGCACGTTGTGAATAAATTCGTCTTTAATAATATATTCATCTTTCCGGAGTCTTGAACATAGATCTTTTGCAACAACATTGTATTTCTCTAGCATTATGAGAACATTTAGTAGTCTGAACACAGTCACAGTATTCTTGTTTAGATGTTTATTTAGGGTAGAGTGCCATGACTCTACAACGTTATTAGTGCGGTGACGCTCTCCGAACACGGACATTATGGGAACAAAGTTACTCTTTTTCATAAACCTGTCCATATAATTGATGAAATTGACCATTTTCAAGTTGGTATTTTCATATTCGGATTTAATATAGGCCCAGCCTGCAACTACAGCATCCGCTGGCAATAGAGGCAAAGCAGCACACATTCCTATTATTCTATTTTCTACTTTTGTATGATGCCCAAGCTGTCTGGCCTTTTTCCATGCATTGCGCATCCAGTGGTAGTAGCAACCTACAATCTTTATCTCTGGGAACATCTTTGTAACCGCGTTGATAAATGCAATTTCGTAATCGCAATGAATTTTCGTTATATTCCACCCGACTCGAATTTTAGTAATGCTAAGTAAAGCGACGTAACTACTCTCCTTTTTGTTAGACATGAGCGCAAAAATATATGGTACTGATAGTCGCTGTATAAAGCAATCTTTCCACCTTTATTATCGATGAATATAAGTTCTTCGTCTTCTGGCGTAGACATAGACATGCTTACAGTCAGGATATTCGCCAGCGTATGCGTATGCGCCACGAAAATAATATATCAATAATTTTTAAATAATTACTGATAGTAAATGACATGAAATGGCATTTATAATTTTCTTTTTGTTAACATATAAAGATATGACAGAGGTTGTAACAAAAAAAACTTTAGTCGTCGGTAAAGTGTATATGACTTAGGTGGAGTGCCTCGACTAGCTTGTGGGTTCTGGAGGTTCTCAACAGGCTGCTTAAGGCACGCTGGTCTAGAATGAGTGAACAATGAAAACTCTTTTAAATTGTTTTGAGGTTGGTATAATTCTGTATGTATGTAAAAGAACAAAAAAATCAAGTGAGAATGGTCATAAAACTCATAACAATCTTACTGTACTAAAGCAACAGCTGCTTTCACATACTTAAATTTATAAAGACAAGGAGGTGATCTGAAGTGCTGACATCTGCCTCAAACGCTGAATATTATGCTGTTATTAGATTGACCATACCTATGTTATAACACTGCAACATTTTTACAGAACATAGACAGTCAAACTTGTTTATAAAAAAAATTGAATCTAATTTGATTTTGTGTGAAAAGAAAGCACGGAAAGGCTTCACCTGTGAAATTACTTCATGAGTGTAATTACGAAGTTGACCTGGAAAGCATGCGGGAAGCGTGCCCCTTCCTCATCAGCGCTCCTCAAAGGTGTTCATATGTGGGCCTATTGGCACACCATCTTCCACTAGTTTCTGATGCAAGATTCTAGTCCCTCAATATATTGGGCCCTGCATAACGACCGGAGTCATTCTAAAAGCAAACAAAAAAAAAAAAAAAACAATATTACCATTCAATTGTTGAAACCGAACCGCCCTCGCGTTCAACCTCAGATTGAGTATTAAAGTTCAATTATATTATATCTATAATTAATACATACCCGGTTTATACAAGAAAACGAACAAAAGTGTCTTCCGACACAACATACAAAACACCCATCCACTCCTAGAGGCCCAACGGCAGATCTGAAAAGAATTAACCAAAATTATGATTCGTCACAAATACTATGTACGCCATTTTGTCCAACCCGTTTTCCACAGGGTACGAGTTCAACTACAACTGTAAATACTCACCAGGATGTCTCCATTCAACAAACAATGGTGTAAAGAACCATTTCAGCAAAAATTGTGTAAAGTAAACTTCAAAAGGTAAAAATAAAGACAAAAAAATATAAGAGGCAAGCGACCTGCTCCCAGCCGCCCTTTTCAGTGTTGCCCAGTCCTCTGTGGTGTTGCCATCCAGTCGCAAGGTCTCACTACTATCAAATTCTAATCTGCTTCTACCAAGAAAGTATGATGAAGCGGTTAATCAAAAATTAACACGCTACAAGGTGGCCAACATAATCATCAATATCTGAAGAGGTTAGTAATAATATTATTTATTTCCTCCTGTAGTTGTGCTAAAAGGAATGGTTATAGTAAATCAGTTGTGATTAGTTGTGCATAGTTGTGTCATTAAGAACATATTCTGGGATGGCACAACTAGTTGTGCGTACATAGTTGGTCCATGAGGAAAACGGGTAAAATTTGGTGATTTCGATACCCTTGAGTTCAGTCTTCTGTGCCAACCCTCAATGGAGTTGGGCGTGCGGTGTTGATCAAATGCAGAAGATACTATTTCAGTCAATAACGGATACCATTGACACGGGAAAAAAATTGCTCCGTCAGTTCTTAGCCTCACTAGCAAGTATGCATTACCACATTCATTACAAAAAAGGTACTATGCAATGAACTTTGTGATAGTGTAGACTATGATATATGGACTTATATCCGACATTATGACCGCGTAGCAGTATCACGTTTATCGCCGACATGCATACGGCTCCCTCACTAACAATACATATTTGCCAGTACGGGACGAATGCTTCATGTCGGCGAATAAATCGATCGTGCTAGCCGGGCCGATTCCCTCATTCGTCTTAGGACAGATTCTTGTTACGGCAGATTTAGTACTGTCACGCATAAAAAAATATTTTTAGAAATCCTGGGTTGGATGGCCAAAGTAGGTATATAAAGTATGAAATCTGCTTTCTTTGTAGGAAATCTACTTATCGATTTCCTTGTCATTCTTGTTTATGATTTCCTTGTTGTCATTCTTGTTTATGATTTCCTTGACGTTCTGGAGTGCGTTAAATCAAATATTTAGGTGTATCTAGGTGTATCGAATACATACTACCATAGCGGAATCGGGGCGGAAAAGCATCTGTATTACAAATTTGTTGGGTTTTCCGTGTATAGTCTGTATATACAACGACCTATTGCTGCCAATAAAGACGTAGGTACAGATTTTTTTCTCACTATATAGCTCTTGATTAACAAAACTTCCGGCAAATCACGCCGATATTTCCCTAACAACTGTTGGGGAGGCGCGCCAGGCCAATTACCTCGCCAATTCTTGATAACCAATGCGGTTTTGGTAACTGATGGCTACTATAGTCCATCAACGTCGTGCGCGACCGTCCTGCGGGGTGGCAGACGGTAGCGGGGACGAGGTACTCAAGATGTCAGCGGGTAGCGGGTGGTGTAGCGGGGAAAGGACACCTCTTCGTATGTAGCCGTGTGCTAGAATGACGCGCTATCTCGCCCCCGCCACTGTCTGTCACCCCGGGGGGACGGTCGCGCACGAGATCGCCGGGTTATAGAACGGCACACCTGGATGACAACCTGGCATTTTACAATTGGGTACGATTTCTTTGTCATTTTCCGGCAAAACATAGCCCGGGATATTCCCACCAGGGAATATTGAAGCATTCCATGTTCGTAATTGTGAAATTAAACTTAAAAATAATACAATTAAATACGCTTATTTTATAGAAGTATATTTCCACAAAACGGCACGGAAAAGGACCACATAGAAAACAGAGGCCGGTTACTCATCTTGAAGCACCTAAAATTCGGCTTGCCAGTCGAGCCCGCCGGCCAGAGCAATTTTTGATATTAGCAGATCTTGGTGCAACAGGTGTAGATGGTTATACAGGGGCAACAGCAGCCACCACAGCAACCTCCACAGCATCCGCCGCAGCACCTAGAATAAAAAACAGCTAAGCTATTATCCGATTCCTGGACTAGAGTGGGTACGATAGCAGTACGCTTTTAAGGGCTCGAGATCCTAGCTATTCCTCGGGGGTCCCATAGCTAATGGCTTCCCGTCAAGAAACATTCTCCAATATAAATATTATCGAAGAAAAAAAATACTAACATTTTTAATAGGGTCTAGAGTACTTAAAGTCAAAAATAAGGCTAGAAGAAAGTTGTGGAAAAATAGACTGACGAACTGTTTTCACTTTTTATACAAGTTTTTTTGAGCTTTTTACAATTGGTGTCTTTTACTCCGGCAATTTGTGAGTACTGACCTTTCTGTTTTCAGTTCTTCTACAGAACACCTCGCATAACGTTTAAACTGAGAAGTTGAATCAAAATTATTTTTAATCTTTTTAGTAAAATGGACAGTTCTTTTTGTCGAATGTCAAATGACGAATAAAAAGGTTTTCAAACACATTGCATGGGTTGTTCATGATGTATTGTAATATAACATTTTAATTGTCATTTGAACAATTTAACAAGACATTTTTTAATAATTATTTCTTACTATTATGTTCTAACTTAACATGTGCATATAAAAAATATTTAACAATTGGTAATAGAAAGGAATTTCAATTAAAATGTTTACTTTAAGTTGAATTTATGAAAACAAAGAACAAATATTAAACAATTCTAATCCTTTCCTTATTCTATTAGCTCTTCCAGAAGAATTTTACTATATCAAATACAATGGAGCATAAACCCTTGTCAGCATACTCTAAGACTAAACTGTTTTAGTGCAGAATGTGATGGTGACTTAACCTGTTTTGAAATAGGACACTTACCGCCTCTACATAAAGACACTAAGCGACACGGCATATGCTTTCCATGTTGCAGTCAAAATAAATCATTTGGACATAAAAATCAAGAGAATATGAAAGAGCAAACCAAGGTTCAACTTGAAGAAACGTGCTATTCAAAAACAAAACCTTTTGCACTGCCAATGCCTCATACAGTAAACACATCTCTAGTCTATATTTGTGATCAGAGAGGTTTCAATAGGATGGTCACTTTATCTAATGCTGAAATAGATTGTGTACACTCAGAAAATCCTAACGAACAGCCCTAAGTTGGGAAAGCAGTTTAAACACAAATAAACGATCTTGTAAATAAAATATTGGAAATCACACTGTTGTAAACTACAGCGTCACTAAGCATTTGTTATAAGTATTGCATAATAATAATAAAGAAATAAAATACATTTACGGTAATTTAATTACCATTAATAAAATTGTATGATTCAATACTCCACAAGCTTTGGCACGGGGTTTGCTTCTTGAAATCATTACCCAAAATAGTATATGAGGAGGTTTAAATTTTGCAGAATATTCAAACACAACGTAACCATGACATTGATGAGCTTTCTTCCATCATTCCAGTCTTCAAGGCGTACTTAGGTTAAAAAAATCTATACTTAAGGTTTTTTTTTAAAAGACAACTCACGCACTAGTAATATATTCTGTGTCGCAAGGGACTATGAAAACATTCATGAAACGGACCCAAAGAGCACTCAGTCTCAGCACAACAATTTCTGAATCACACCAAACGTTGTCACATGTGGGGATTGAACCTAAAACACTCAGCGTACCAGGAAGCGGCGAGGTGACCGCTTAAACTACGTCATCCGTGCAGTCAATTGAATTAATCAATTTAATATTGAAATAAAAGAATCTTGTTTTTATTTCTTCCCCTTATTGAAATGTTTTCTCAAATAGTTTTAGAGGGTCCTCAGTGAGTTCGCTCCCACCCAGTACCCTCTAGAGCAGGGATTCCGAAAGTGGTCGTAACCCTTGAGTTGAAAATCGGTTCTCCAGGGGTCGACTTAAACGAAAACTGATTTTATGGGTGACAAGGTCGAAAAATCGACCCCTATCAATTAACACAAGTTCTTATTTGAAACTTTCAAGATACTGTATAAGTTACAAGACTGATTTAAATGTATATTTATTTTGTTAAATTTCGATGAGAAAATGATGTCAAGTTTGCTGACTTAGCCAACGGCACAGTTTTTAAGTTAGTTGTATTTTGGGTTTTTAAAGTTGAGTCTGAGGTTTATGTTCATTTCGGAAAAGCGGTCTCTTGCCCAAAGTAGTTTGGGAATCCCTGCTCTAGAGGTATAGGTTATATCTGTGACTCTACGTTGTTTTACATTAATTCGAGTACAAATATTAATACAGCCCGTTACAGAAAGGTATGGTCAAATTTGAATTTGTGAAGGAGCACCACTTAGGAACGGTTGTTATGGAGAGCCTTGGGAGAGGGCTATATCCAGAAGTGGACATCTTTTGGCTGACATGATGATGATAGTCAAATTTTAGCTGTGTAGCCGGCAATAGTCGATTTAGCAGTAAAAATATGTATTTATATTTTTAAATACGAAAATTTCTAAAACACTTTACAAACTATCATCATCATCAGCCTATCGCAGTCCATTGCTGGACATAGGCCTCTCGCATTGCACGCCATTTTGATCGATTTTCGGCGAAGTAACATATCAATAGATTTTAAATTTCTTGACAATAAGGAAATTTCCTTGGTATTTATAATTTCTATTTTCACGGCATCTAATATTAAGACCCTTCGCTATTTTGTAATGCTCTATTTATCATGAATCTTTAATATACCTGTTTAAAACCTTTGATGTTACCGCCAGCCTAACCAGTTATCAGTCTATCGTCCAGTATTGCATCTTCGTCTGGGGAGACCTCAGTTCAGTTCCGGGTGTTTTTACGTAGAAATGGTTATTTAATAATTCAGTTGTATAACTACCATCATCATCAGCCTTTATTAGTCCACTGCTGGACTCAAGCCTCTCCTTAGGTTTTGGCCTACCATACTACGCTGGTCAAATGCTTTGGTGTAGGGATCAAGTTTTCCTTGCTTTGCAGTGCTGTATATAACTATGAGACTTTTTATTGAAATTATTCAATATTTGCTACTAACAGCATACCTTTTTTAAAAACATCATATATAATAAAGTTTACTGAATCCTGTAGTATTCAATTTTAGGATCAAACGAGGAAAATTTTAAAATTATTCCTTTTCAATATGATCTTTGTGGTCATGGTACATAGCCGCCTGGAAAATATATAAATGCATATTTACAATAATATGCAGTCCCGTGAACACAACATTATTCATAAGTAAATAAAAGCTTTAAATGATGTGATACATAAATATTTTTATTTTTCACGATAATAAACATTTCAACGTTTCTAATTCATGATTTTATTCCTTGACATAAATTAAAACTGAAATATTTATTTCCAAACTAGGATCAAATTTGCAGTCAGTAATTTTTGGTAATAATGGGAAAAGTAACACGTTGTATACCTGTGAGTGCGTGTAAAAGCCGTGAGCTAAGAGGTGGAGTACTACATACAGATTGTTTTTGCCTTCGTAGAAATGGATTACAATACGACTGCCGCAGAAGTGGTTGTCAGGGAAGAGCCACATGCTCTGTACTACCAGCACCGTTATGCGGACCGTCACAGATAGCCTGTAGCACACACGGGTCTAACCCTCACGCTAAGTCTTTGCGCGCAATATGCAAAATGCGACGGATCCCATAGAAGACACTGAAATCGTGTGCTTTTTTCCCTCCTAAAAAAGTGGCAGAACTGAAAACAGGTCTTATATGTGGTGACTACAATTAAGATAAAAATATATTACTGGCCCAACCAAAATCAAAAATAGAACCCGGCTCAATGAGAAAGCTGACAGAAGAAAACATGGCTGACATAACATTTTTATACGTCGTCCAGATCAGATGTGTTTTTTATAATAAAATTTTATGTAAAGTTTGTAATGTAAAATAAGTAAAAATTTAGATATCTAAATTTCCAGTAACTTTTCTATGTAAAATAATAACATAATAAATACTGCAAAATATAAAAACGCCCCTCTCCGTTATTTAATTGGTGAATAAGAAAACATCGAAAATGTAAGTACTTAACCGTCGAAGTTCATGTTACTACTAGTGTTTGAAATTAATAATATACGTTGAAAAATTCTTGCAGGTGTTCTCCATGTGGTCCAATGGTATGCTACAAATATGAAGACTGTGGTCCTCCGGTAAGGCGATTCTACCTAGGAATTGTATCATAATGTTAGATTAAAATCTAATTTAGTTGTATAAATATTCAGCTTCAGTGTCTACCCCGCTCTGCGTTCAAGCGTAATGGACTGCAAGATTGCCAGTTCTTCCAGCAGGGGTCAATACGGTATTTATGCCGCACAGATGGCTGCTGCCAAAAGCCGTGTCCGTGTTGTCCGCCGTGCGTGCGACGCCCGCCACCCGGCAAGACCTACGTAACGCGCTTCAGCGATTTCGACCTAATTTCGCAGTGGTAGAAGTTGAAGTCCTCTTTCGTCTATAAATTCGGGTAATTGAAATTCTATCGCTCACGGCGGACAGTAATACTCAACTGAATATTGAAATCGGTTTTTTTTCTTTTGCAGTCAGGGTCCAAAAAACCCTCCGAAGGCCGTAGACCGGAAGAGGACGGCGCAGAAAAAAAGGATGAAAAAGAAAATCAGTTGAAGCGGACTAAAAGTCGCGAGCTGCGTGGTGGTATCATGTACTACAGTTGTCATTGTATTAAACGCAATGGCTTACAGCACGATTGTCGTCGCACTGGTTGCGGCGGTGAGCCCTCGTGTCTAGTCTTACCCGACCCTCTCTGTGCCCCGAGTCAATTAACGCGTGCTCGGGGCCTTGCGGATCCCGCACCGTTAGCAGCGCACATGCGAGCTCAAGGTGGAGGCAGCTCAAGCGGAGTAGCTGATTCAAGTGCCGGAGGTGGAAAGCGCTTCATAGTTTGTGAACTAAAGGGTATTATACCCGATTCTTCAGCAGACAAAGGCGGAAATAAATGTTGTAAGTGTCCTGCAAAACCTGTAAATTCTCCTTTAGGGTATAGTGGCTTCGGTCCTCAAGCATGTGTATATAGTGGCACCGTAGCTGCACCACCGACCCCTGTCGTAAAAACAATTGGTACACATGAGTACGGTTCTTCAAAGTGTCCTTGTACTTGTGTTTCTGGGGCAGCAAATGTACAAACTTCCGTGTTTCCCCTTGACGAGAAAACTTTAAATGAAATAATGAAAAGGTTTGAAACTAAAGAAATGGCACCTCGTATTCCCAAGTCAGGTCCAGGTGGTCACGGTGCAATAAAGCCTGTTACTAAAGAAGAACCTTGTACTAGACCCGGTTGTGTGCATTGGAAGCCGCCGTCGCCGTGCGTGTGGGATGCTCCCTGTAAAGCAGATTGCTTTGAGACTCCAGTTGATATTCAGCCGGGTCGTAATTCACTTACGGGCGGCGGTGGTGCATCTATGAGCTCTAGTGGAAATTTTGGAGGCAAGGTATCACAAGGTACCCAGCAACCTCGCGAAAGAATGAAACTGTTAACACCAGAATGTTGTACAGGTTGTTCTTCGGGGGGCCATGGACAAGGTTCTGCAAGTGGCGGTCCGGCAGGTGGTCTCCCAATGCTGGTGATGAAGCTTTGTTAAAGATTTAATTAAAAATGCTTACTGATTTTCTAAAAGCTTAAGAAAAAGTGCATGATTGGCTAAACCGATTAAAAGATTTACACTAATTTCACTTTTTATTTAAACCTTAGAACCCAATATATTATACCTTATATTTTGTGATTGTAATGTATTTGTTTCTAAGAACACTATTTGCATATTTATGCAATTTACTTAATAGTTGTAGCAAATTTAAATGTGTGGAACGCTTTGGCATTGGTGCGTTGTCGCAGACCAAAGACGGTTTCTGAAATTCTTAATTTTTGAGCCACCATTTATCAAAATACTGAATGAATTTTGCCAGTGTACGTATGGATTGAGGAGCCATTTTAGAATTTAAACGAATTTTAAACGGAAACTGAAACCTACAAAATTATTTTTTCACCTAAATGAGGGGGCATTTAGGTGAAAAAATAATTTTGTAGGACAAATCCTGAAATTTGTAGTAAGATGTATCCAAAGCTACGTCAATGTAAAAGTGGCTCCTCAATCTAAACATTTGAATTGAGGACCCACCTGGAACACGGAAAGTAATTAATGAATATTTTTTTAAACTTTGTATCATTTAGTAGTAATTGTGTATAGTGCCTACTAAAAATCTGAAGCCAGTACTATTGATATTCAATAGTATACAACACAATGTGGCTCCTCAATCTATATTTACGAGTGTGAATTGCCATGAATGTAAAAAGTCAAAATTTATATTCTATTCCAAAAACATTTAGTAGCAAGTGGGTTTGAATTTGTAGTAACAGGAGAAAGTAGTAAAACTGAGTGAATTTTGTAAATAAACGCATTTTATTTGGCTCCTCAATCCTGACGTTCTGCATAATAAATAATGGATTGTACCTACCTGATATCACAACAGAAATAAAAACTAAAGGCACTAACATTTAGTATAAATGTCTACTAAATAAATATGTACACATCAACGTTGTATATATTCGGTATCTAAAAAATTACTTTTTGATATTCCTTATAAATTCGCCATTTAGGGTGACCATGTTAAATGATATCAGGACAACTTTTTAAAATTTAATTTTAAAAAAATCGACAATATCGAAATACAATTAATCAGGTTCGGCATAAGTGATACAATGAATTAATATTGGTTGTTCCGTGCTTTGACGAATTTTACAGTCAGAATCATAGTCGTCAAAGCAAAACATCTCATTCTTCGTTGGGTAGTGACACTTAAAGTGTCCCATGCCAGCGTCACTAATTGCAGAGATATATTCTGTAACACCTATTAATATGTATGATCTACCTCAAAGCATTATAGATTCTGGTATCTCGCTTACTCGAAACTTCGTACAAAGATTTATTTTAAATGAAATTGTATTTGATAGCGTATATTTGCACGCTGTTTGGAGGTCACAAAATGTACAAACATTTTTTTCTTCTGCAATACAAATTGCATCTTCTAAACTTTGGATCCCGAAAACTGATTATATTCAGGTTTGAAGGTAAAAATATGATCTGTCTAGATATTGGGCTAAATTGGCATGAATTATTAGAACACTTTTTACTGAAAATTGCACTTAAACAATATTTTAAAGCTATGTGTTCAAAAATGAAGGACACATTACAAGCAAATTTACAGAGGCTTTCTTTTGTTTCAAAATACAGCACACCGATTTCGGACCGCATTCTGTATATATCACAGTCATTAGCAACAGGATCTGCTAAAAGTTTAATGTATTGAGGAATTAAATCATCAGAGTATCTGTTCAATGTTTCTTGAAAACTTCTACTTTGAATATATCCCATACTTAAGAAATGCACGACTGAATCAAAGCAACATGTATTTTTCAAACTCACATTAATAGAAATTTTGCTGACAGGTACAGATTCGCATTGATTGCCATTTTTTATAAATTTTATTTTTGGTTTTATTGATGTTATATTAGTGTCGGCTTCACCCCCTCAATTTTCGACGAAGGAAGGATGATCTTTGAAAGATCTAAACGTACAAGAAAAAAAGTGACTTCATTTTATACTATGTAAAAATAGAAAACCATGTTTATTATCTGACTGTACAAAATAGCATTTTAGGGTGTTGTCAAATTATTAGTGAAAAAAATATTAAAATTAAAAGTGTTGATTCGGACAAGTATCTAAAAAATATTTGTTTCCGAAACGTCAGTAAGCTAATATGTGCAAACAAGTCAATTTCACCGTTAATGAATATCAATTGTCTAAAAAAAACTATGATTGAGAGTAGATTGGTAACGAAATTAATTTAGAATGACCCCATACAATAATTAGAAAAAATGAAATAGATTTGTTTTTACGAAACAAAAAAATACCTTTTATATAAGTTATTCATGGACACCCTACAAAAAAAATTGTTAGAAAATTAAAGAATAGCTAATAACTTCGTAGATACTGTACTTTTTTATGACAGGATTATACGAACATTTAGTATAAATTTATACTAAATATTGATGTAGTATGTTCCAAATTTCCTCACAAGTAGATCCTCCTATAAGTATATTTAAGTCAAATCTATTTACCGAAGCATCTTAACTGAGGAGCCAGTTAAAATGTGCCATATCTCCTAATTCACTCATTTTTAATTACTGATTTTTACACTACAAATTTAACATACTTACTACTAAATGATGAAGAAATTGCGCATCAATTGAATAACTGCTTCTTTTAAAAAATGACAGTCGTATGGATGGTCTGAGGAGCCACATATATAATGTATGGTAACTTTTTTAATTTTAACATTACCGAGCTCAGATTTTGTCTACTAACTAATGTCAAATACTACAAAATCATCATACTAAATTATCATAAATATACATCCGCTATGTTCCTAGTTCTGACGTGGCGCCTCAGTCTAAACATTTAGGTTGAGGAGCCACCTTTATGTTCATATAACTTGAAAAGTATTATACTACAAAATCGAGGATCGCGGCTACAATTTTTTTTAAATCTAAATAATATATTAATTTCATTACGATTTGAAGAGTGGCTCCTCAATCCAAACGGACATCGTCAACACTATTGCAGAATCTTTATTGAAAGAGAATATTAACATTTGTAATGCTGAGTTAAGATTTAGTTGTATCACCGATAGAAATATTGCTAAAACATTGAACATTGAACTTTAGTGCAAACAAAACTCTACACAGGAAACAGCTTGGCTTCAGAAGAGGTTAGCTCGACAAGTGATTGAACCGGTGTTGAACTTTTTGAAAATATATTTAGTGCCTGGGAGGATAAACAGGATACGCTAGTTGTTTTTTTTGTGATTTATCTAAGTCATTCAATTACCTTTTTCATAAAAAAAAAAACGTCGGGTTGCACTCCGGGAGGGCCGGCAGAAGTGAAAACTTGAATATTAACGTTGTGCATTTTTGATATTTTGGAATGGTAGGGAATAATTTTGCACGAACTGCTTTAATTATCAGTATAAAAGTACTACCATTTATGTCACACATCACATCAACAGCCTTTAATAGTCCACTGCCGGACATAGGCCTCCCTTTAGAAAGGAGGTTTTGGCCTACTATACCACGGTGGCCAGACGGGTTGGTATAGGGTTTGTTTCAAGTTTTCCTTCTCTCTGCAGTGTTGTTGTCCTGCCTAGTTTCCTCCCTTAGTCGCCTCTTACGACACCCACGGGATGAATAGGGGTGGTGACACTCTGTATTCTTAATCCGTCACCACACGGACAATTATGTGGTAGAATACAATATTTATTTATTGCGCTATCGTACACAAACATGACAATTTATCGAGACGCTGTCACCATCCATGGATGCGCGTCGCACGCTGTAACATAAACACACACGAACATTCGCGCAAGCGCCCTGCGCCGCCTAAAAGAAACAGTTGTACGTAGATCCGAACAGCCCGACGACTTGAGCGAGAATGAACGAGTATACCAGCGCTGTCATCACACCGTCCCGTAGGGGACGCGTGGAGGCTGGATCGGCGCTTTAGCCCCCTGCCAGCGGTGTCTACCGCTTCCCCTGAAGAGGGGTAGGGACCCCATGGGGTGTCCTTTAACGGAGTGAGATTTGTGTGCGGGATCGTTTCGGTCTTCACGCCACCTCGGCGATCAGCCCAGGTGAGACCCCAGGCGATACCTGAGGAGGCCCAGCTCCGAGCAATGGCGACTTACGCGCGATCCCGCACAGTGTCGAGTCCAGGATGTGTTGCTCCTGCTATGGTAGCGGCCGTCCCCGCCCGCGCAGAGTGGACGAGACCGCAAGAGCTCTGAGCGGTGCCCGTCCTCACACTCGACGCTGGCCAGCGCAAGGGCGCTAGAAACCTGCGGAGCGCAATGGGAACTCGCTATTTTGTGGCCATTTGTTTCCTCCCACACTCGACGCCGGCGAGTGCGCGCTCAAGCCTACGGAGCGCGAGAGGAGCCCGCGTCACGTGTTACCCTCCCACACTCGACGCTGGCGAGCGATGGACGGTCGCTCGAGCCTGTGGAGCGCGAGGGGAACCCGAGTCCCAAGATATGTAGTCGGGGCGACCGTCCGGAGGAGCGCGTAGCCTGTCCTTGGTTAGCCGGTGGATGGTCGCTCGGTCGGGGCCGTGCGGCACAGAGGTATCAGCCGATGGATAGTCGCTCGGCCGGAGCACAGCACAGCAGATTCGCCGCTGAAAACCAACTCCGGGGAGTTGGGCTGTGGCACAATTATATCAGCACTGCTGTACTTATTTGCCACCGCATTGGTGGGCGCACGTCATTGCGAACACACGGCCTGCATGGGACCGGAAAGCACGCGAGAAGGTTCTGTGCAATGAGCAACGATCTCAGGCCTTCGGAAATCCTCGGACATCTTCGGGCGCTCCGGAGATGTTGCTTGGGCGACGTGCGGGCTAATCCTGAACGAGTATGCGCAATGCAGCTCGTTTTTATAGGACCTAGGACGCAGTGTTCGAGCACGTGTTCACATGTTGTTAGGTTAAGTGTTGTATTTTCTTGTTGTGTTTAGATAATACGATTTTTCACGTTATTTTTTAACACTAACTGCAAAAACTATTATTATTATTATTATTGGAATCTAATTTAAATAAATTTAATTATTTTTAATAAGCGAGGTAGTTTGTAGTTGCGCCAACATATAGTATATTTGTTTGTGTAAGTATGTAAATGTGAGTATAGTGTAGTGTAGGTAGAGTCTGGTAGAAAATGTTAATTCTTATTTTTAGCAACTTTCTGATGGTTTTGAGTGTTTCTATGGCCTACCCAAATGCCCTGCTAGCGGTAGTGTAGTGCTTCGGGTCGTTGGTGTTGACCAATATCGGTTAAGCTACACGATGGCTGTGGCCTGTATGCTGTCTGTATGGATAGGCCGATTTGAAACTATGGTCAATTCTGTGAAAGGCTTACCCAGATCCTATACTCGCAAATTTTATTTAACTTTGTTTACGGACTAATAAAAAGAAACTTTAGTGGTTTGTTTCGGCGTTTCTTTCCAGAATGAGTATTAGGAAATGCGGACTCCTTCTAGCTGTAAAGTCCGACTTGTAAAAATTTCTGAAAAGATTTCCTTATAGAAATAAATATAATTTACAAGGAATGTTTGTGTGTAATGTGATACAAGCTGTTTCATTGGCAGTTTTTCAGCGGTTGTAGGTAGGTAAGATTTTATGAGAAAAAAACATCTTTTACATTTAATTACTTAATCAAATTTGAATTGAGACATTCTTTGTTTTTCTTTTTACGCAAATCGTAGCTATCAAGAATTTTATTATCCCTATACTTGATTAATTATAGTTTTCCAATAATGGGAAACCTTTCGATTATTGCATAATCCAAGGGTTTCCCATAAAACTTTGAGATACCCTTTTCTGACATTTTCAAGGTTTCTTTCCGGTGGCGACAAAAATTTACATATATTATGACCATTTCCAAGGTCTTTTTAATTGATTTAGCAGTATGGGCTTAACAGACAGCCAGATAGAGTTACTTTTACATATTAATAAGAAATTATAGTTTAAAAAAAACAAAAAAATACGCTTCTGTAACTAGCCGAACAAAAAGTAGAAAACAATTTTTTATGAGTTAAAAAAAAGTCATTTTGTCATAAAAATGCGTGGGGAGCTACTTCTCAATTGTTGTAAAAATATTTTATAGATAGATTTTGTAAAAGTAAAGTTATAATATTACAAAATATCTTGAAAAGAACCCCACACTGTTTTCGATAAAATGATTTTGTCTTTTGAACGTACAGAAAATAATTTTCTACTTTTTAGTTCATCTAGTTACAAAAGCGTGTTTATTAGTTGTTTTAACTATATGTTTGCTTTTTTAAGTTATTAATGATTTTTTTTTTATTAAGACTAAAAAGTAACAAGTAAGTAATTCACATATGGTTCAGTCGACGCCTCTTAGTACGTAGCAAAAGACACTACATTTTTTTGGTAAGGAATAACCTGTTAATCTGGTCAGGATAGTCGGCAAATTTATCAAATTATTGTATTGTCATCGGTCCTTGATAAGTTTGCGAAGTTTCAATTTAATTCGACGTTTTGAAGTGGGTCAAATCACGGTCAAAGATTCCGTTACATACATACCAAGCTAATAAAACCGTGTTAACATTAGTTTAATATTATTCTGAACCTTAAACTCTTTAAAATAACAAACTCTTAATTTACTTAGGCAATACAACTTAATTGATGTGAATGATAGGTGTCAAATCTGTCAAGCATTACACATTACCAGTCCTTTACAAATTCAATACATTTAATATCGTAATTTGAAAAATATTTACTGAGGAGTCGTAAAATTATCAATAAAGGATGGAACAACACCACTAAATGGAGAGATATAACTAAATAGTAAAGATGTCATTCTTTTAAAAGTAAAATAATCTCAGTAAACGATAGAGCTTAACTATACTAGTTTGGAATAAGTCCTCGTACTCGTGTATAGTTCATAGTCAGCTGCAAACTTTTAAATCGTGTTTATTTAAATATTATAAACCTGAATTGTATATATGCCTATTCTAATACTAAACAATTTTACTACTTACTCTAATTCTTCGGAGAATAAAAGGAAACGTCTGAAATAACCTGTAAACGTATATCATTCTGTAATATTTAACCAACTTTCTGTAATTGTTGTACAATAAAGCATATTCTATTCTATTCTAAATAAAAGTAATAGATAGTATCATTTAAAATTTCTATTAATATATCAGCAGATATTTTCATCAAAAGCTTCCAATTATGTCATTGATTCATAACTTTTTATAAATATTGTACCTACTTCACGTGGATTTTGCAGAAAAAGAAACATCGAGTTGTTTGTAAACTTTAAAAGTGCACTCCACATTAATGGATGTTACAAGGATCTACAGAATCTAAGAATAGCAACAACACTATGAACCACTTACCATACCATCCATAAATTGTGACAATTATAAACAAGATGCTATGAAAGGAAATAATGGAACAACAAAGAAATACGTGACTACTAATACGGAAAATAGATACACAAATACTGGCTCAAATGATATGAAACCTCCATAAAACAATTAAAGTCTAATTTTAAGAAGCACAGGCGAAGTTTTAGCAATGGCATTAATTACTAAAAGCATGAGTACAACAGTCATTGCTACAATGCAATTACAATGTTTAAACAGGCCGCTTTTTTCATTAATTAACTTGTTTAATAAACCAAGTCATTTAGACTTCAATTGCTCTACGAGAGATGTTTATGATTGTGACATTGAAAAGAAAATGATATCTTTTGAATATGATCAATTGCCATGCCCTTTGGCTCACGTAAGTTTTAATATTAATAATAATAATTTGGTACAACCTACACATGGCTGTCCTATCGCAAACTATGATATTTGTCCTGAGTTGCAAATCACACTAGCTTAGTAATCAGGATAATTAACGACTGTACAAACATTTTTAGACAAAAATACGAATGATTTACCTACGAACTCACTGATAGATCACTATGTTCATTATTCAACAGTGTCTAGTTCCTGTACCGTGTATTTTTTTATTGTTGCGAAATATTTCACTTATTTATTATTTGCTACTTTGATATCGTATTAAGTTAAGCACAGTATCGGAAACCGACACTTTTGGTTCCATAAGTTAAGATATCAAAGCAATCTAAACATTTGGATATGGAAATTTTGGCAGGATTACTCCTAATTACAAGAATAAATATGCAAAACCAGTGGTGGGTTTCAGGGGCTGTCCAAAATAGCTTTGGTATGGTTAAACTCACCATCAGATAGATACACAATTTAATCGCAGTCTTCCACCGCCTTGCGGGTGAACAATGACGACTTTTTATTTTAAATTAACTTTTGTCCGCTGCTTCACCCTCATTAAAGGAAATTTAAAAACAAAAAGTATTTTGTATGTTTTATTAAATCCCTAGTGATTTGTATTTTATGATGATCAGATGAACTGTATGGCAGCGCATAAAATATGACCAAAAGCCTACATTTACATACAAGAAGGTATGTAAACATTGTTGCTACGTTAATCAATGTTCATATTTATTTTATTTAAGCATCCAAAATATGCTGCCGATTTGCCCAGTGATAACATTAGAATGGGCTTTCCTACCGTACCAATGGTCCCAAGTGGTATATTCAGATGGACTAAACAAAAGGTAGGTCAAATATATACATATTAAAGGAACATTTTTAGGAACTTTAGGTATTTAGTCATTACCAATGTATTAGTTACTAGATGTTTTCTTATAACAACTAACATATTACCTACTTACCGCATCATATTTCTACATCATCTGAAGGTCGACTGGGAGAAAATGCCTCATGACATTGAGTCCTCCTTTGTTCAACATGTGAATTAAGTTTTAAATAAAAAGAAATAAATAAAATATTAGGTCTTTACCTATGAAATTGCCGTTTTGTATGCAATAAGTGAAAGTACTTATTTTTTCAAACTTTTTTATTTCTGTTATTCGAAGTAATCACCCATGCAATCGGCGCATCTTTGCCAACGCATTGGCAGTTTATTGATGCTTCTTGTAAAATCAGCTGGACGGGAGGCAACAAACACTTCAAAGGCATTTTGTACTGCCTCACGGGAATTGAATTTTTTACCCACTAAGCATTAATGCAGATGTGTACTGTGAAGAACTGGATAGAATGATGGAGAAGCTTGCACATCTGCAACCAGCTTTGGTCAATCGGTCGTCCCCACTGCTCCTTCACGACAACGCGCGACCCCATACTGCGCAACAGACAGTCTCCAAGCTGCAAGAGCTGGGGTTGGAAGCTCTCCCTCATCCGCCATACTCACCAGACCTTGCACCTACCGACTATTACTTTTTCCAAAATTTAGACAACTTTTTAGTGGGTAAAAAATTCAATTCCTGAGAGGCAGTACAAAATGCCTTTGAAGAGTTTGTTGCCTCCCGTCCAGCTGATTTTTACAAGAAGGGCATCAATAAACTGCCAATGCGTTGGCAAAGATGCGTCGATTGCATGGGTGATTACTTCGAATAACAGAAATAATTTAAAAAAAAAAAAAAAGTACTTTCACTTATTGCATACAAAACGGCAATTTCATAGGTAAAGACCTATTATTAAACACAATTAAACACAAATTTGTATCATTATCAATAACCAATGGCAAACGTTTAACCTAGTGCTTTATAACTATTTTGATGATGTTGATGATGATGATAGTACTGTATTTTATTTGGTAAATGATGTAAATTGGACAGAGTAATAAGGTTAACTAAATTGTTCAGCAAGATACTGAAAAAATACGGTGAATAAAATATGATTGTTTTGCTATTTTAAGGTCCTAGGTAATAACGCTTCAAAAGATGCCATTTATAAGAATCCAGAATACTTCTCTTACCATCAGATGAGCTACTATGACATGCAGCTACATATGAGAAAAATGATGCGTCCAAAGAAGCTGGTGGCTCTTAAGTCTTTGGCTATTGGCGTATTTATGGGTCCTAATGATTGTGATGAAGTATGTGAAGTACTTAATATATTTTTTTTGCGTTTTCTATTTCGATTTAGCATGGATCTCACTTTCAGGTTTTACGAGTTTCTTTCTCTCAAAACCTTTGTAAATTTAACCTCTAGTTAAATTTGTCCGAGCGCTTGACAATAATTCCCATCGTGATCCAGTCTTGCCGTAATGAAATCTACTTCCATAAATCAGATTATGTTTATTATCAGATGTGACAATAGAGGAAAATAGGTATAGATAAACTCTTTGCCCTAGAAAACTTTTTGAAAAATGTTTTTTTAAGACAAAAACTGCGATATTGACATTCAATATTTTTGCTATTAAAACTGTCACGTAACAAAAACCACCACCATCTCACGTAATATCATGAAACATAAATAATAATGTAAATAACATGTTAGAGCATCCATAACTAAATAATACTAATTACTTATGCAAATATATAACAAACGCCTGATGACAAAGTCTTCGCAATGGCACTGTTGTGTAAAATAACACGGTCAGCTAAAAGTGCCAGCAGTCCTTTACTATATTATAAGACGGAACAACAGCCACTATGCTTTATTTCAAGTTGTTGTGGTGACGATAAAAAACCACCTCCTTTACTAGGCTGCGATAACCCTAGCGATCCCACTATGTATGATGTAAGTTACGTTTCTATTTAAGTAGGTACAAACCATATCTAAATTGAAAATTGATAAAAGATTAGTAAGAACTTGTAGATGCTAGTGGATTTGTAAAATTAAATGCACCTTTTTTATAGTCATTCGCTTATTTTTGTTGCTCAATTTAGACTCATTTTACACGAGGTCTAGAATGATTTGTAAATAATTTTGTTGATTTTAGCTAATTAACGAAGTTATACAGATGTAGACATCAACTTATTGTTTTGATCAGATAACCGTGGAATAAGTTATTTGAAAGTCATAGAGAAAGAAAGATTTCATTAACAATAAAGTTACGTTACTAATATGTAGTATCTTGTATTTTTTGAACGTTTGTTGGGGTTCGGAATACTGTGTTTTTCAGAATCAGAGCGTCTGTATGATAAAAAAAGGGTTAAAAACTACCATTAACAACGTCCTCTTGTAAGTTTAGAGTGCAGTACTTGGGAATCCAGCTGTTGTCAAACATATACCACCAATCGGTTTAAATACATTTGAACGAAAGAAACGCGCCAATATCTTGAACATGCCACCAGAAATGGATGGTTTGCAAGCTAAATGACTTGCAAAATCATTACTACAGCCCAATAATAATATTATTATCAATTAATAATAAACTTTATTATAAATGTTAATTTCAGACTCGAAAATATGGCCACCAATTACCTAACGATGATGTTGTTCCTCTGTTTGAAGTTTTAAGAGATATTCCTAGTGGAGTCTTCAGATGTACGGAAGGGGAAGTGAGTACATATTTTTCATACATAACTTATTAATATTCAGTTTCCTCTAATTTAATCAATTTTATTTCATCTTTATTTAATAATACATCGTATTTTCGTTTTTAATTCAAAAGTGATAGTTGGCTAACATTGAATTTTATCAAATATGGCAATATATGACACTGAAGTTTACACGCTCTCAAATTAGTAAAATTTCTTCCTACATAATTAAAAATATAGTTAACAAAGATTGAAGAACCATCATTTCACTGTTTTGGTGCCGTACATGCCCGTCCGTGTGCGGAGTGTCATCGCCTCTATTCATCCCGTGGGTGTCGTAAAAGCCGACTAAGAGAGCAAACTATGCAGGACAACAGTGCAGTGAGAAAGAAAACTTGAAACAAACCGTATACCAAGCCGTCTGGCAAGCGTGGTTTAGTAAGCCGAAACCTCTTTTCTAAGGAGAGGTCTGGGCATACCAGCAGTGGACTACTGAAGGTCAAACTTGATAGATGATGATGATGCTTGTAAATTTCGATGAAATAAATTAAGTAGAATGTAGGTTGGTAAAAAATATTGCGTTGTTGCTAATTAAAGTTGTTATTTTACAGATATTAGGCCTTGGTGCTGGAAAAGGCTGCTTCTATCAGAATCCAGAATATTTCTCCTTCCACCACATGAGTTTCTTTGATTTTCACCTTTATTTAAAAAATGTAAGACAATCGCAACCGGACAGTAAGAGGAAACCTCCGTAAAATCCTTAAAAAGAAACATATCTTAAAGAAACATAAACATAAGTAAAATGTTAAAATAAATCAATGTTTATAAACAAGTAAATGGCACACGTTTTAAATATAACATTGTTTATAACATTTAAAAATATATGTCTATCGTTCAATTTTAGTTTTATTTTATAATTATTGCTAGATATTCTGTTAAAATTATATGTGTAAATGTGATATTCTTTTAAATTTATTCATTTATTAATTTTTTTTTCTTTATTCTTTTAATTTTAATCATAAGCGGGCGGAGCCCCGGGGAAAAGCCAGTTTCTGTATAATGTCATGAAAAACAATATTTTCACTATAGATTTTTTGTCGTCCCTGTGTTTTTTGTCAGTCTGTCTGTCTTGGACAGTGTAACAGACGTTGGTACGTTTTAACGACTTAATTACTCAAATGATAATCATAAAATGTTGCATACATATGAAAAGGGGTACAGAAAAGGATATATAGAGCAAGATCTCAGGGCCCCCAGACATTACTTTTTTTCTTAGAAATAAAATGTATGGGATAGAGTAGTGTCAGTATGTACTTTGAGTGTATGCATACCTGGTAGCTTGCGCAGTACCAGGTACTACAGGCCGGTAAAATAGTACTTACTTTTCTCAATTTTTACGTAGGTTTTAGAAAATGTTGTTGAAAATCAATAATTAAGATTGCCAGACACTCCGTCGGCAGTAACTTTTACCAGACATTTGCAAACTCTTAAATAAGTATTGTAACTTAAATTATATTCTCAGTCTTGATTTTTATATGAAATTTTTGGAACCATTTTAAAACTTTGTAAGCAACCAAACCAATTGTCCCCCCGGACACACATAAATTGTCGTAACCAACACAATTATAATATCCTTTTCCGTAAAATCGTGAAATGTTTTTGTTTTACAAGATGTGAAATTTTTAATGACTAAATTTAAATAGATAGGGTTTCTTGACCTCGTTTAAAGTCATGTAGTTAGGTCCTTTACCTTTACACCTTAATCAAAATATGTGGCTTGGCTGTTTCATTACTAGAAGAACTTTTGTATTAGTAATCAACAGTGAATAAAAATTTTCACCTTACGCCCGTGGCACGGTAGCAAAACCGCCAAGCCTCATATTCTTTCATGTCTTTTCTGACTGAGTTTGTGAAGTTAGGGCTTGTAGAGTTACGGCGTGTAGAGTTAGAAGTTTGGCTCTACATGAGATCATACTCGTACATATAACTTTTTGACAGTGCGAGCCATATAGCAACATTTTACATGAATATGTTTTTAGTGGTATTTACCTTCTTTTTGTAAGTTGCTTATGACAATGTATTATTTATAACAAGGAGTACCTTTACATTACATTATAATAATTTTCAGACCTCTTCCATCAAAATTTGAGGATTTAAAACAAGGGGGTTGGGTGTAAAAATTCCAAGTTTTAGTTTTTGTTTGTTGTTTGTGTACTAATTCTAGCTTACATACCAATTTCAACATCGGAGTCGGAGGCAAAATCGGTTTTTTTTTAGATTTCAAGTGTAAGAGCAGTATTGTAACTTTATATGTTTAATAAGTCTACTATTGACATCATATCCTCAAATTTTCATTTTCTAATATAATCCAAACCCAAGTTATAAGGGTTCAAAAAAACGACGTAGCGCTTTGAGAAAACGTAAGTACCTTCGCTTCGCGGGGGCACTACCATAACGCCAGATCGCCCTCAAATTTTATTTATTGGAATAAAAAGGATTGGAAGTAAGTGTCTTATAATACTTATCAGCTATTTTAAAATACAAAGGAAATTGCAAAGATAAGCGTAATTATATAACACAATAGCCTTGAAATAACTTGTTCACAGCAGGTATCGCTTAAAACATTAAATCATTGATTATCAGATTTTTTGAGTCACTCATTACCGTCAGATCGAGTCTGTTACGTAGTAATTAAACTGAATACATTGCACACCTCATATGACACTCAAAGTTTATAAGCATGTCCCATTTTATCTTGTTTGGTACGGATAATTAATAAGGATTAAGTTTTTTGAGTCTAAACAGTGAAAATAGACATAGAGATTAGGTATAGGTAAAAAATAGCAGAAGAAACAGTAGAAATTAGCTTGGTTTCACGCTAATCCTTCTGCCTCTAATGTCATTAAATCTTTCATACAAAATCCTCGTGTTCGGTTACTTCTGACCTACCCTGTGTATGTACTGTTACTACAATGGTATCTGCCCCAAATATGGCCGTATATTCTTCATCAGGATAGGATACATCAGCTACTATTTATAAAGTAGTCACGATTATTTAAACATACTCTTTATAGGTACACAGTGTTTGTTTTGCTGGTTCGGCTTGGGGCGAAACAAAGGATTTGAGCAATGATAGATCTTAGTTACCGTCCAATATTGAGAACATTTTAATTTAATATAGTGTGTACAGTTTACTTGAAGTATAGTATAGGTGGCGTTGATAGCACCTTTGTGCATCGCGCTATGGTTTTGTTAGGCTGATTTATATACTTATAAGTTATTTGATTTTAAACAGTACTAGCATTCTTGTAGTAACCCAATAAATACCTTGCCGGTTCCTTGAGTTTCATTGTGTCCTCATTCCGACAGGCCTAGAAGTTCGTTCAGTTACCACTGCCCCTAAAAGTGAGTAGTCTCCATATCCACCTACACGAATAAGTCCTACATTTACCTACTGGATACTATAAATTGATGTTTTAAAAGTAGCAATATTATCCATGTCAATTTGTCAAAATTTAAATTTTGATTTAAATTTATAGTATCCAGTAGACATGGATAATATTGCTACTTTTAAATTTTTTTTTTTTTTTTTTTTTTTTTTCTTTTTTTTTTTTTTAAAAAGACAACTCCCGCATTAGGAATAAATCCTGTGTCGCGGGGGACTTTACAAACATACATGAAACGGACACAAAGAACACCCAGACTCAGAACAACAATTCGTGGATCACACAAAGTGTCGTCCCATGTGGGGTTTGAACCCACAACACTCGGCGTAGTAGGAAGCAGCGTGGCGACCGCTTAAACCACTACGCCATCCGTGCAGTCAAAAATCATAATCATTTGATGCAATGATTAAATTTGGTCACTGTGATTTCGGCAGTGATAATTGACTACTTAGATTTAGTCATAGACAAAGATAAATGCCATCAAAATCGATCGAACCCACGTTTTTTTTTAGATTCGTTAGCGTACATTAATAATAAATCGCTGTGATCTTGTAGATGTGTCACAGCTGTGATGAAATGATTTTAAGATCATATGATCACAGGGTATTGTAATATTATCCCATGAATATTATCAAGTAATTTACTCCATATGTGTATATGCTTAATATTTGCCGTGTCTTGTTTGATAAATCGATAGCATTAACTTATCTATCTCTATCTGTGTAATTTATGTAAATTATTTGACTGTGAATAGAAATACGATGCTGATTAATTTATCTTTCGTCCAAATTTATTTTCAGAAGTTATATCAAGGTCGATACCGATTACTTTTTTTTTTTTTTCTGAACTCCCCTCGGATCCCACCAGTGGGTGATTATGTCGGACTCGAACCGACCAAAAACCGCACGCCGTCTCATGGTACCAGTAGCCAGGGAATCAGGTATACCCTAGAAAGGGAAGCCTTGTACCATGACGTACCTCGGGCCATCTACAGCTTATAGATGACCACTCCTATGTGGGAACCCGGATGTTCCCTTCCTGCCCCCGAAGGGCATGCGCGCTTCGTAGCTACCACCCAGCCCGGCCTGCTTCTGCTAGAGTCACAGATGGCCTCGCCTGTCACCCTCAGGCCTGCGCTTATGGAGGACGGAGGTCGCTCTGCGGTACCTGGCCCGTTCTCGGGCCTGGTACCGTAGAGCTAGGAGGTTTCTGAACGTCTCCCGGTTCCGCTACGCCGTCTCCCTCGCTAGCATAACCTGCTCGCAGAAGGAGACGGCGGAGTTCCATGCACTCTTGCTCCGCACTATGGCCGCAATCATGTTATCAAGTGAGAGAACTCCCACCCCGATGACCGCCACGAAGTCACGCCCTGTGCTCCACCCACGCCGGGCATTCTGCTAGCGTATGAAGCGCCGTGTCCACGGTCCGGCCATCGCAATGTTGGTACCCAGGCGTTGACTCCTTGCGAATCAGACACAGGTGATCCACGAATTATAGGTAGTCGTTAAATTGACCGCTGAAAATAATTGCTTCGACCACTACGCACAGAGTGAAAATACAAATATACTGATTCAATTAAATTATATTATTGTGTAGCGCATTTGGATGGGCTGGCAAGCTAAGAGTGACACGTAACTCCGCTGTACAAACCCCCATATAATGAAGTATTAGGAAGCCAACGGAAGTAGAATTACTCTCAGTTAATGGCAGTTTTTAAAAGAAATCGGTGTTTAAAAGTAAATCTTAATTTTCTTTTCGAGTTTGTGTTTTCTTTTATCATACGTAAATAGATTCATATAACCTAATACGAATAGGAATGGAAAAGATTAATATAATTTTAAATAACATTGAAAGATGCAGAACCTCTGTCGAACTGAGAGGCTTAGTTAAACAATAAGTCAAAGCGGTCACGTATCTCACAAACGTTTCCAATTTCCCACAGCCTTGCTCCGGCTGCTAGTTGTCCACCTACGTTTTGCTCTTCACCTCCTCGCAATTACATATTCTTGTTCAGCGCCACCATCTGCAATCAATAGGTACTTATATGTGTGAAGGGGCAAATAACAGTAAAACGAGACTGAAAAGCAGCTAAGGGTAGTTTCAAACAGTGCACAAGCACCAACAGATGTCGCCGCTGTTTTGTAGCCTGTTATAGACTTTTATTCAACCTAAAACATACATAACGAAGTCAGCTATGTATGTTTTAGGTTGAATAAGCGAAAAAGTAACAAGCCAGAGCTGATGATTTATGGTTTCTGTGAAAACTCATTGCAGTCAATGTAAAATCATTTGGAATGTAATGTCAAGAT